AGGGTTTGTTTGGTTTTAGCTTTTCATGGGGTTTGTAGACATTGAGAAGAATATAAACTAATGTCAGCCTTATTCCTCAACACCATGCTGTCATTAATCCTGGCTGACAAGTCTGTTCTAAATTAAATTTAAAAACATTTAGTTTCAGTTCCACATCCCCAAGAAGAACCACCGTGGTGTCACTGTGTTATGATCACATATTGTCACAGCTACACCAGGAATAAACATGCTCGTATTCCTCAAAGAATGCTTCTTTTGTATAAACTATTTGGCACAACACACTGATATCATGGCATCTACTGTAACACAATGCAATCTATCACACATATCAAATAAAGTCAAAGACAGTTCATTACAGAGAACCTTATAGATGAGGAACAGGAAGAGTTTATATCAAGTTCTGACTGATGACCGACCACACATCATATATGAAACCTACTAGTCTAATGGGAAAACTGTCAGCAGTTTCACAGTGGGGTGGTCTGTATTCAAACAGCCTTTATTACAGTATTTCCAGTGAAATTATTTTCTGACCGGGTGCAAAAAATATGTTTTTGCTTTACTTTCTTTTCTTTGGTTTAGCAACCATGTACATTATGGGGTTTGTAGCCGTTATTTCCAACACTGTCCACGTTGATAATGTTGATACTCATGTTCAAGTTTTCTCACTTTAACCTGCTATTCCTTGGATTTATTTATGTTTGCAAGCTATAAATCATTGTCTTTATTCATTACAAGATATTTTACTTGTGGTATGTGACCAGCCAATTAATGGTAAATGACATTAAAAAATCGTGTATTCATTCATTAGTAATTATCACAGTGGACAACCAAACATGAATCCCATGAGATGTCAACTAAACGTGCAAATCCTTAGAAAATGTGGCTGCAACAGAAACAAAAGTTCTGAGATTCTTGATGTTTTCACAGTACAGGATAGTTATTTAGTTAAAGCAAAACAAAAAAAGCATACCTCCACCCCCTCCAGTTCCAGTGCTCCTCCTCTGTCTCTTTGAGCTCGGAGGTGTCTGGCTATATGTGTCAGCAGCTCCAGAGCTTGGGTGAGCTCAGCTAGCTTAGCGTCCTTCTCCTCAGAGCCAATCTTGGCCAGCTCCGGTACCTCAGCCTTCTCTCCATTGAGGAGGGCCTGGGCCAGCTCATAGTGGAGCTGGTAAGAGGAACGGATGAGCGTGCGACCATACCACACATTGTTGACAGCGAGAGTGTGTGCATCGAGCTCCCACATCACGCTCATGGCAAACCTTGAGAGGGAATGCATATGTATTCGAGTTTACAGATGTTTTACTGTGTTTTCAAAAGTGTGTTAATTTAAGGAAACACCTTCCAAAACATAATGCAAAGACATGGAGTTCACTGACCTGTCGACTCCTCCCAGTAGAGAGCAGAGGTCTGCACTGAGAACAGCAGGCAACATGTCGTACCTGCGGTCGGCCAGGTAGTAGGTCGTAGCCCTTAGGGAGAGACAGAATCAGAAGAAAATGAAAGGGACAAACATCACAGCAGCATCAGTCTCCATGGAGTAGACATCATTTAAAAAGAAGCACTGGGAAAAAAAATACTCAACCATTTTTATCACTGCATGCATTGAGCTATTAAGTGATGTCATTTTTGCATAAATAAATGTTTCTCTGCTTTCCTTGCTCTTATAAGTGAGAGGTTTAAAATCAGTTACATTTTAATTTGCTCCTATAACCATCATCAAAATCTGAAAACTAATTAAACTATATGTAGTTAACTACAATACAGAAGCCACAAGGTGCTTCCATGGTGCACATAAAGGACAACAGGAAGTTCAGAGAAGGCCAAACATAAGGATAAAAAATAAAACAGGAACAACATAAAACCGCTAGAGTAAAAAAATGCTGGAGGGAATTTTGTTTCTGTTGAGTGTTAGGAGCTAAAACAGTGAAACATGATCCCCCCTTGTTTTAAGCCTGGACTATTGAACTTCTAACTTCTAGTTGTCAGACATACAGTAAGGGGTCTTAGTGTAGGATAAGGAGTTCAAACACCACAAGTATAGAGGAGAGAAAAACCATGGAAGTAATCAAAAGAATCCTGAACTGAGCTGTAAGCCAAATAGAGAGTCAATGTAATCCATCCTGAACAGGAAATACATGCATTTAGTGTTTGTCAGAAGCCTCATTATGCAGTCAGCTCCAGGTCTGCACCCGGGACTGCAAGTACAGCTGCTCACAGCAGAGCTGATGGAAGTGGACTTGTAAATGCAGCCAAACAAACACTTCAGTATCTTAACTGAAAGGAAAAGTTTAGGTGCAACACAAACACAAACCCATGCTCATCATTAAAAACTGACGTCTCTTTCTAATACCTGGTTTTTAGTTAAACTCAAGTCTGCACTTGACTTGTGCTTATTTTACCACTGTTACCTTCTTTGTGGCTGGTGTATGTTTACACCTGCTTTTTACAGGCAAAATATTTTCCCTGCAAAACTGACCATGCAAATTATGACCTTAGTAAATCCAGCAAATACATAGTCAACATCTGTCATTGTGTTTCCTTCTAATACTTGTGTACCTCTCCACTAAATGCATATGCAGTAAAGAGAGAGAGATACCTCCTGCAAACACTCACAGAAACAACAAACTATGGCTCCAGCCTTGTATGTATGTTTGATAAATACACTGCATGTGTTTGGGCCAGAATGTTTCACATCTGCACCTCAGAAACAGATACATCAGCCTTAGTACTTGGGCTTCAGTGGTGACAGTGATTACTGTTACCTCTTTCCTGTGTATGTACATATGATTTTGACATACAGTATATGCTGCATTTCCGCTACTGGACTCTAACGAGCAGGTATACCCCGTACCTCCATTAATAGTCACCAAGTGTAGCCTCTGTCCTGCTTTGCTTTCCCACTTTGTTTCTCTGTCGGTCTCAGTTTAGAGGAGGGAGGAGCTGCTCCTCACACATGCAGTCAGCTGTGGGTTTACATACAGTGCTTGTAATGTTAATGCTAGAAGTGTTAAGACGCAGACATTTAACCAATTACAGGAGACTGCTCTGTGCTTACGCACACCCTCCCCTCTTGCGTTCCTGGTACTTGATTTCAACACTACTGCTTGAGGGGTAATTTTGCACCCAGAACGCACCTCCAACATGGGCCAAGTGTAGTGGAAACAAATACAGAACCTGTGACAAGCATTACTCTGCACAACATGTTTCAGTAGGTTCCTATAATGGAAAAACCCCTATACCAGTAATATAAAGTGTGTGTGATGTTGCAACAGATAATCAATGAGCACCTTCCAGGCCTCTTTGCACTTCTGAAAGTTACCTTGACTGTATGGGATTCCTAATATTTTTTCCACCTGTATACATTATTCTGACAGGGTCCTCACCTTGAGCGTGCCTCCAAGTCAGTGAGTGAACCTTCTGTGACAAAGTGAGTGACATCAGCAATGTGGACCCCCAGCTCCAGTAGCCCCCTGTCAGCGAGACTGCGCACCGACAGCGTATCATCTACGTCCTCACAGCCCTGCGGGTCGATGCTGAACACCAGGTGACTCTCCCTGAGGTCCCGTCGCTGCACCACCTGGGCAGGATCCACCCTCCACGGTTTCTCTGGAGAGTTGACTGGCATCTCTCTCAGCTAAGAATAGACAGACACAGCCAGAAAACAAACACAAGGTTACATAAGGTATTGAAAATCTCACACAAACAGCTGTACTTCACCAGTGTCAAAGTGATGTATCAATAATTTATTTTGCCTCTGCTTTGGTTTGAGAACAATCAGATATTGTGTGCCGTGCTGAGACACCTCTTTGACCCAAGGCCATTCTCTACAAAATAAAATAAGCCCTATGAATCTGAGTGAAAAGAAAAGGTCATTTAATTCTGTAAAGTCCTTGCATCATTGTATGAAGAAAGGAACTAAGTAAAAATGTGCTGTATGAACTGAAAAGAAAAAACACCTCTGTAGTTTCAACAACATTATTCCATTACATACACACTAACCTCTGAATAGCCTTCAGTGTCTGGTGTCCCATCCACACCAAGCACTGAAAACTATTAAATGTCCTCGGGTAAATGTCCTTTACCAAAACTGGGCAACAACAAACTGTCACACAGTTCAGCATTATCCTTTGGTTCAAAAGGTAACCTTAGAAGTTTTACCTTAAACAATCAGTTACGTTTATGTTAAATAAAATACTGCGTATCTTTGAGGCCTAAAAAACCTTCCACATAAAATGTTTGCCTTGGTTACCTGTCTATAATGAAATGAATATTTTATTTTATTCTTTTATTTAGGGTTGCAGCTAATGATCGATCATGATAATAATTTTCATGATCGATTAATCTATAGATTATTTATTGATTAATTGGATAAGCTATGACACGTACAGTGAAAAATGCCCATTACGACTTCCGAAAGTCCTGCGACATTTTAAAATTGCAGCTTTTGTTCAACCAAAATTTCAAAATGTAAAGATATTACATGTGCAGATTTCTTTTATGTCAATCAACTAATTGATGAGTCCTTTCAGATCCACAATGCGTTCACACGAATGTGTCTACTGAATGTATAAGCAGGCAAATGCTTGCTGCAAAAACTTTGCAAACAGTAATATGTCAGGAGTTGTCTTGAACAGCTGGCCGTAGAGTTCGTTTGCCTCCAAGTGGCCAAAAAAAAAAAAAGCTGTCTATTAAATTCTCTGTGAATGTATGTAGAAGTGTAGTTTAATCTCTGAGGGAGAAGCTGTGCATTTCTGACCTGTGCATCTGAGAAGGGAGCCACATGGATGCTGTTCTCTATGAGGATGGTCTGGACCTCCGTCTCAAGCTCTCCAGTTCGACCCAGAACCCGCACGCTGTGGCCGTTAGGATAGAGTGACGTGCTTTCCCATGAGTCAATGCGCACCACCACTCTATGGTCCTGAGTAAAGAAGACATGGGGGAATTACCTTACTTACAATCACTGGATTTCAAACCCTTCTGCCAGCTTCTGCTTTCGAGAAACAACTTGGGTGATACAAAACTTAAGTTGTGAGCATTTTGCTACTTGCTTTTATCCTATATGTTATAATAATGGTGAAAGGAAGGTCACATTATTTGAATTTGGTAGCTATAATGCAGCACTAAGAATGAATTTGTAAGACACTGGTAACACAGTTATCAGTGGCACTAATAACAGCGACTTAAATATCAAAAATATCCAGTTATAAGAACAGCTGATCATGTATGGAAATGTTAGATTAGATTCAACGTTATTGTCATTACCCATGTACAAGTACAAGGCAATGAAATGCAGTTTAGCATTGTTACATTAGATATAAATGCATTACTCTTATATTGAATTAGCTTATTTTTAAGTCAGTTAACAGCTGATTAAGCCTGACTGTGGAGAACAGCCAGCAGCTAGTGGAAGCCAAACCAGACCTGCAGAGCATCAGCCTGCTGAGTGCTAATGCGGATCTTGGGGATGCGGCGGTCCCATGGAACAGCCAGGATACGCTGGAAATTCCTGCTCTGGGACTGAGGCCCTTCCCTGAGGGGAAAAGTTACCACATAGTCCCTCCAATTTCTCTGCAGGATCCCCACAACACGGCCTGTGGGTTTTAACAGCAGACATCAGTACAGACACTTACCAGCACAGTCAGATGGTCCCAGCCAACGCAGTGTCCTGAGACTATGCAGGAATGAATATTAAAATTTCTTAGAGTAACCATCTCACCCAACATTTAGTCGGTATATGATTATTTAGACAAGTACTGAAATAAAATGAATTTAAACAGCCTTAAAACTGGGCCTCAGGGGTCCACTTACTACTTTTTCAACTAAACCTCAGTTTTCATTTTGTGAAATGAAGTGGACCCTTGAGTTTAGATTATATTGTTATAAATGCTGTTACAAGAGGCCAGGGATCAACTTTACTGCTTAGAGTATTAAAAAATGCATTAAAGGTACAATGTGCAAGTTTTGATCACTAATAATAGTGGCTCCCTGTTATGTTTGTATTTTGTGCAATATACACATTTACAACATTGGCTTCAGGAGCCATGCACCAGCAATGTGCAGGGAAGAAGAGGACTACTTGTAAGAAATGCACGTTACAAATATGTTAAACCTCAACAAAGCACTCTTTGCTTTTTGTTGAAAAACACACAAAGCGTAAATTAGTTTTTTAATAATGAAATAACTAACATTTTTTCCAGGGTTTATCAAAAAATGTTATGCATGTATGCTGCAGGAAAAATAAGATTTTGTGAAAAATTAAAAACTGCATGGAAACTACACTCATCAGCCACTTTATTAGGTACACCTGTACAACTGTATGCACTTGTATGCTGCATTGAAATGGAGACAATTGTACTGTACAGGCGTACCTGATCAAGTGGCCGGTGAGTGTATCTGGGCACAACGCCTCGGTTCATCTACACAGATAAACAAGAGAATTAAGGGGAATAAATATTCTACAGCACACCAGTTATGGGCAAAAACATAATGCATGGGCCATGGCCAATTACACCATAAACTAATTCTCGGCCCATGGCCAAACTTTCTACTAATTTTCCGTGGAATCAGTGCAACAGTTATAAGTTAGTTGTTGAGATATCCTGTAGAAAACATAACATCCTCAGTGGAATTAATGAGTTTAGTCATTGTGGAAGGCCCCACCTGTCGGTAGTGGTTTACTCTCGCTGTCCTCCCCACTCTTCTCCTCTCCCTGACCCTCTGCCAGGGCTGTGACCTTCCCCCTCCACTCACTCTTAGGCAACAGTTCCACCACAACCACGTCGCCATGCACAGCTCTGTTACGATTTTTACCACCGCGCACCAACACACATGAACTTGAATCTGAGATGGATCAGGGACAAGAAGAGGGAGGATAGATGAAACAAGAAAAGAAGTGGAGGGAAGAAAGCAGGTCAAGAGAATGAATTAAAAAAAAGCAGAAAAACCACAACACCAGCAACGAGCTGTTTATTAGCTGTGAATAACTGTTGAATGTGTCTGGCCCTTGTGTGGCCAGTCACAGTCTAAAGTCAGCATCGCCAGTAGCAAATACTGTGATGGCTGCTGTGGTTTTGCACCTGAGTTCTTCTTAGATATCCCCTCTGTCATGACGGAAGCCTCATTCTGTGCACGGTGCTTGTTGACATTCAGTGTACCCTGAGAAAAAGGACAGAAACGTAGGATCTATATTGATTTTAGGAAGATTCGTTTAATTCACCGGTCTGTTCTATTTTTCTTATTGTCAACAAAAAGCTAATTAGTGAGTCACACCGTTACACTGGATGACATGTTCCTTCTTAACAAAAAATACGGTCATGATAGTTTATTTATCAACAGCTCCACAGACTAATAATGGCTCTGACCAGGACAGACTCTGTGCCTTAGTAACTGGATACAGATTTCAGAAATGTGTGAAACATGCCTCCTTCCTTGTGCTACTTCATTCCTAAAATTAATTCATACTTTTGCATCTGGTTGAATTACTTAATCTGCAAAGGAGATGTCTGTGACATAAAGTGTGGCACAAGTTTACACTTTTTTTGGCCATAAAATCTTTAATCATTTCTTGGAGAACATCCTGACACATTTTTAAGGACAGACTCACTAGGCATAAACCAGGAAAGTGGATTTGTACTGTACCCAGATGTATCGTCCAGACTTGATACCAGCCTCCAGGACTTCGGCAGGGAGATGTTCAGCGTACTCTTTCTCCATGCCCTCGCTCTCCTTCTCTTGTAGCACCTGAGAAATTGAGCTGTAGAGCTCACGGGCTGCATCCAGTTGTTCCCAGAACATCTGCAAATAATCCTGGCAAATAAAGAGATACAGCGTTGAAATTGCCAGGAATAGATAAAACACCATGTGACAATCAGGTGATAGATAATGATCGATAACAATCATATGATAATTCAGGTATGTAGAGTTCTTTTAATATCCTAAATGTTCATAAAGATAGAAACAGGAGTCTCCTAGGTACCTCACCAGTGCCAAAGATGCATGTTAAAGCCACAAATTTGAAATATGGCACCGCTGGTTCCGAGAATATATATTTTTTTATTGCCAGTATGCAATGGCAGATTGATTTCATACTATGATACCCATCACCACCAGCTTCTATGGCTGTGAAGACAAAGCCACTCAGAAGTAGAGCTGGAAAAACTGGTAACAAAACACAGCAGCATAGTTGTCAGATTCATGGAAAAATGACCCAGGCTCTGAAAGTGAACTGTTTAATTGGGTTTCTACAAAGTGTAGCCTAATCTTTAGCTTCTGCTCACCGTTAGCAGCACACGCACCAGAATTGTAAGCTGCGTCATTGCATATTTCTTGAGGAAAAGCACCTTGGGAGTTGCACTTACCATCTTTTCTGCAGTTTTTGTCCTAAGGCTTGTTCCTTTGATTTTTTTTATTATCAAAGAACCAGATATTTTCTAATGCACTTGTTCATCTTTTGTGCTGATGACTCAGCCAGGAGAGTTTCATATTTATCTAAAGTGCTCAAGCTATCACTCACCTCCTATTGTCTTTGCAGAGGAACAGAACTTTTACTTTAGAAACCCTACAAGCCTGATAAAATTCAGATAAATACACTCCCTTTTTAATCACAGAATCCTGTCATTTGCTTTTCTGACAGGGGAAAAAAACAAGAAAAGCTACTGTAACTGTGTATGTTTTCTAGGCTACATACTAAATGTACTACTAAAATGACACCATGATGGTTTGCTGCCAAGATCTCTTGTATAACAGTATACAGGTGGTACTGAGAACAGCCTCTGCTTTTCCATCCATCAGCTTTCTAGCACTATACATCAGACAACTGCTAACAGGTAGACAGGACAAATTAAATGAGTGCCTTTTTCTCACAATTACATATTGACAGAAATTCAGGCTGTGGTTCATCATGGCTTTTCACACGTTAAAACTCCGAGTAATACTGTAGCCACTTTACTTCAACTGCAGTGTACTTTTTCACTTCACTACCTTGGCAGCATATTAGTTGTTAAGCAGCTCCAAGGTAATTAGGTGATACAGTACAAAAATCACTTCTGCATTCTGAGCAAACTCTGATACAATGTTGCATGAATAAATTTAGTGATGGAGAGAGGAAAAATGAAAAATTAAGCAAAACCATTTGGAAACAAACTAAAGATATAAATATTCAGTCTTTTGTACTTACTTTATAGACCCAAGTCTATTATTAATGCTCTTCAAAAACAGACTTATTTCATCCTCTACAGTACATACAGTACATAAATTCTGTGATATCTTGGTGGTGTGCTTGAAAATTTAACTATTTCACCACAGTTGATCAACTTTTAGAGAAACTGTATTAAAATGACAATCCTTTGATGTTATTGTACTAGACTTGTATGTAAGCAAACTGTAATCTTCCTTTAAAGACTGAAATAGAATTAGTTAAATCTTTGGTTTGGTCCCTAGACTGTATATAATGATGGATGACATGACAGCTCCCAGAAGTAAAGCCACCACGAGTTGATCGCCCCCTGGTGGCTGGTTGCAGTATAGGTCATACATCCTGCCTCCTCCATGTTAGTAGATGGAACATGGACCAAACTAAAAACTCAAAGTACAAATCAAATATATTTTCTCAGAGGTGATTTTTGTCTCATTTGATAGATGTGTACACAAGTGCCCAGTTTATTTTTAATAAGTTATCTGATGATATGAAAAGGTGCGTATTTCAGATGATCTGACAGCTCTGATTGGTGGTTCGATGCTGTTACTCCACCTCTTGTCACTACTGTGCAGAACCTAGTTGCATCACAAAAGCAAGATGGCATCTGCTGTAGTCGGTGTATTTTGGCTTCACTTTTGCATGGTGGAGGGAAGTGGTGACATGTCGTCCATCTTTATATACAGTCTATGGTCTGGTCTAATATCCAGTGTGAAGAATAAGGGGAGACACACCAAGCCGTTGGCCATTGACGGGCCATCACTAAGCATCTGTAAGGACTAGTCTTCCCAGTGTGTCCTGCAACATTGGCACTATTCAGCCTCTGTTGGTGGCTTTTTCAACATGTTGAATTGGCGTCCGCGGTTGGGCCTCATTAGTGAGAGAGGGGCCACTCTGATTTGCTGTTGAGCTTGGGAGGCCGCACAATATACCTTTCTCTTTTAGGCACTTTCAAGGTGCCACTTTTCTCCTTATTAAACAGTGCCTTAGTAAACTTATATGGATCCTTATAAAAACCTGCCCTAGCCTGTTCCTTTTTCCATCTAGCTTTTCTAAGCCTTTCTGCTCTCCTTAGATTTACCAACCTAGATTTCTAGCCATTTTGCAACATATTAATGCCCTCTCTCTCACTTTGTTTCTTTTCTTCATTGCTTTCTAAGCTCTCTTTGTTACTGAACAAGCCTATCAATCTGCTGCTGCTGCCTTGTCTTTACTATCTCTGGTGCTGCTTTATTTCTATTCTCACAAACTCCAAACCTTTGCACTTCATATTCATAAATTACATCTCCCATTTTCTATAGCTTCTTCTCAACTGTCCCTTTCAGTGCTTCGAGAGCATCTACCAGACCTGATTAAACTGTTGCCCATATGCCCTTCGCACTAGCATTAGGCCAATTTACTTTGGGCTTTTGCCCTGTACCCTTCTCTTTCTTTGGCTGCCTACTCTCACCACTCTTGATACCCTTGTGTTTGGTGTTATCTTCTGCTTCCTCCTCTCTGGTAGGGATACTGATATGCTGCACTCTTTGGTCACTCACCTGTTGCTGGATTTCACCCAACTGACGTAATTGACTTCTTACTAAGTATTGTTCAATGTGGGGTCCCTCACCACTGCACTCTTCACCTGCCTCCAAGCACCTTTTCCCTCCCTAATGTATTCTAAAGCCCTTGGTTGATGTCACTTTCCTCCAGCCACAGCAACATACCTGCAGTTGTCTTTCTTCTGTCTTTGATACTGTTGCTTCCACTGGAGTGCCTGCCCTACACAATGCCAAATCTGTTCCACAGTCAATAACTGGGTGTCCTGACTGTGAGTCATGAATTTTATCATTTATATGTACTTAACAATTTTGTGTGAAAATTAATATAACAGATGAATAATAACACAAAAATTGTAAAGGATTCTCAAAAACCTACAACATTTAATCAGAACTCATCATCTCTCATGTTTATCTGATATGGGGTTCACACTTGGTCTTGGTTCAACTAATTCTGAATAAGAAACACTGTCGCAGGTTTGGGTTTAAACACTTGTTGGTCAGATAAGTGCTGCAGATAAATTTTAATCTGGCTTTAAATTTTAAAAAAAATCTATACTTATGTCAAATCATCAACAATCAAATCAAGCTGACACGACCCTGGTGAGAAAACAATTTTACCAAAAGCTCCATTTATTTGCTGTTCTGTGTTTTCCATCTTATCATATATCCACACCTGCAGAGTGAGTTTTCCCGGTTGTCATGGAACTTCAACTTCTAAAACTTGTGTAAAAAGTCCTTAGGATATATATATAAAAAAAAAACAGTCAACATCTCCAATCCCATGACAACTGGGTGAACGCCATATGCTGAGGAAAATCATGTGATATGATGGAAAGCTCCAGAATAACTGTTGAATTGACCTTGAGGAGAAATTCTGTCCTTATATTGATTTCAAACATGTTGCAAGTATTACAAAAACCTGCATCAAAACAGCAAGGTAATGCTCTTGGTCAACAGAAGAGTGTAGTTTGTAGGCATCTGAACTAATGCAGTTCTACTGTCATGTCTCTATACTCCAGCACAGTAGATTTAAAATCAGATCAACAGCTAAAGTTAAAAGAGCTGACTTTCAGCTTCATGAGGGTATTCACATCAATAATGAGTGAACAATGCAGCAGGACAATTAGAGGACACCAACTTCTGAAGTGTTCAAGCAAAGTGAATGTGGACACCTTCACATAAAAGGTGAGCATAAGCACTTGAACAGCATAGACTAAGACTGTCATTTCAAATTCCGCATGCCTGAGTCAAAATACAGTATGTCACTGTCCAAATACTGTCCTGACTGCACTATAACTAAACAGGTTAGCTTTGCACTATGGGATGTGAGTGATAATGTACAAGTAGGTCAAGTACCTGGACGGAGACGACGTATACTCCAGAGCTGAGACAGCTGTACTGAGCCACAGCATCTTGATCCTCTGTAATCATCACTATAGGAATCATACCTGCCAGGTGGTTGTAGTACCATACTGCTGCAGAGTACACACACCTACACACACACACACACACAATTTACAATTTCAAGCACAAGGTGCATGTAGACAGCTTGCCTGTTAAAGTCCTGAACTTTGATATTTTGTATTTCATTATTTAGGCATATGAATTAACACTACGTGAATTGATACTGAAGATGATGTTTTAATGTTATAAAGAACACGCGCATAAAAATTTATAACTCCTTTTACTCTCCTTTGATGCAGTAAACTCAGTTTAAGATTGCAGATTGTACCTCCAGCCTTCTGTTGTGAAAACTACTGCACGTCTTCAAACTAAAAAGTTTGAAGACATGCAGTACAACACCAGTGGGCTATCATCAACTGCCGCAGCATTAACATTAAATCTTTATTACAGAAAAATCACAGTGGTGTGCAGTACTTTAAGTGTGCCCAATTATATACTCTTTCTGAATAAGAGATAAAGTTCTGCTCAGACAGGGTGGTGATTGAACATTTTCATCTTGCTTGTCGTCTAATCTACAGTATGAGACAGATGCCACAATAGCACTAAAGTAACTGGCTGATCATTTGATCAAAAAATTTTCTTCATAATTTTGAGAATTCAATAAAATGTCAAGTAGGTGCTTGCAATACCTTCACATTTCATTTCTATTATTGAATGAAAGGAAAACAACATGCCATTTTTGTAGCTTACATGCTCAAATCTGCAGGGGAAAGCTTCTCTATTCAAGACATCTTGATACACTCTAGGTTGAAAACGAGTATAATTAATGAAGGCTATAATTAAGTCTATGCTGTGTAAATGTCAATCTCAAGTGCTCCCGCTTTCTCTGTTATTATACTTGTTTTATATGTGAAGTGGAGGAAAAACATCTTCAACAATTCTCAGATAGACCCTTTTGCCCTCAGGTCCTTATAGAAGCAAGTCACTGTAAATGTTTGACTGACAGCTTGTAGGTGGCTGTGGCTCACGAGGTAGGGTAGTCGTCTCCTGACCAGCAAGTTGGTGGTCCGACTCCCGGTCTCCCCGCATGCCTAGGTGTCCCTGAGCAAGACACTGAACCCCGAATTGCTCCCGGTGGCTTGACTAGCGCCGGTGCATGGCAGCCTGTCGTCATCGGGGTGTGAATGTTGTGTGTGATTGGGTGAATGGTGTATGATCTTCTGTAAAGCGCTTTGGCCAGTGCAACACTGTGAGAAAGCGCTATATAAAATACAGTCCATCTACCATTTACAGCTTAGCCAGTAGAGCTGGTGCACAAGTTGGACTAAAGTTAAAATGAATTCATGGTTTATACATGATTAAACTTTCATCAAAAATCTGCTGAAGGACTCAGGGGGTCAGATACAAAAAAATCTGTGCTATTTAAATTGTGCACTGTTGTCACTTCTCACACATTCATGGAGTACTGCAGGTCAATTTCTATATTAGCAGTATTTCCAACACTCCACATACAGAGACTAAAACTGACAATGAATTGTCTCACGGTTAATGTTTGTCAGCTGTCAGTCCTGAATTAGCTGGATCGTCCGTGTGATAGATCCCTGCTGTTCTTCAAAAATGATTAAAAACACAGTGGGAAACACTTCTGCACTGGGTGACACGTTTTTTTTTTGTAACGCAACTCCAGGCCCAACTATGTTGCCCCAAAGGCTCCAAGTGTTCATAATTTCCTGAAGTTAGCATGAGCCAGAGTCAACGTGCTCTCTGCTTTGTTTACTGTATATCCCGCTAGCTACTCACACTACGGTCCGGTGTTTACTGATGAAGAAACAGGTCACCCGGTGCAGTGCTGTGTTTCACTGATGTGTTTTTAATCATTTTTGAACAACAACAGGTCTATGGCACAGATGAATAAACTAATCTGGGACCGACAGACTGATGGATTATAACTGTGAGTAGAGGAAATTCATTGTTGGTTTCAGTCTCTGTATGTTTATTGTTGAAAATGCTGGTAATATAAAAAATGACCAGCCTTATCCTTTAAGAGTTGGTCACTGAAAGCAGTGACTTCTTGGAGTCTTCACTGGTAGGTTGCCTCCTAGAAACTGCCTTTCTCTGTGATATTTGTATGGATTAAATAAACAGGAAGTAGGTAGGTAAATTTTATTACCTTTGGACAGGATAAAAATTTTGCCCTGCCCTTTACACTAAGTTAAGATGATTCATATTTACTGTACAGCTGTGAAAATGATATTGATCTTCTGATCAAAGTCTCAGCAAGAAAGTGAAACTGTCAGACTCCTCCTTTAAAATCACATTGTTAGAATGTACACATTTCCAACAATCTTTTATATTATAGGCAGTACAAGACACGTGTTATTTGCTGTTATAAATTCAAGCTGGTTCTAAATGCATTTAAGTTAAAAATTCATAGTGTGAATGAAGATGCTGGGAAAACAGTAATGAGCGCTGACCTGGTGTGCCACTTCTCCTGGCTCTCCCCTTTCTCTCGCAGACAGTAGGAATACTTTTGGAATTCATTGGCAAACAGCACACAGTCATGTCGAGAGTCTTTGAGTAAGTTTCGCAGACGGTTGTACTGCCTGCACAGACAAACCCACAACAAAAAAACACACCAACACCCTCCAAATTATAGAGAATAATACAACAATAATTATAGTCGATTAAAGGAGCAGTTTGGCAATCTGGCAAATATGCTTTTGTGCCAAATGTTAGAGAAGACTGATACCACTCTCATGTCTGTGTGGTAAATATGAAGCTTCCATGAGCGGCGGGTTAGTTTAGCTTAGCATAAACAAGCGGAAACAACTAGCCTGGCTGTGTCCAATTGTAACAAAATCCACCTACCATCACTTCTAAAGTTCACTATTTAACATGTCATGTCTCGTTTCTTTAATCTGTACAAAAACCAAAGACCTGATGATATCCAGAACATAACCCCCGCAAAACCAAAATATGTTGCTTTTACACTTCAGTCTGTGTGTGGATCAAACAAAGAAGATATAATGTATTAATTAGTGAGGCTGCATGCGGGTAGGTGGAGTTTGTTACCTTTTGACAGAACCAGGCTGGCTGTCTCTTCCCATTTGCAGTTTTTATACCAAGCTAAGTTAATAAGATGCTAACATTAGTTTCATATTTACCATAACATCATGACAGTGGTGTCAGTTTTCTCTCACGTGAATCAACTTATTTACCAAAATGTCAAATTCCTCCTATAATATATTAATCTGATAATGAAAAATGACTATAAAATTATTTTAAATAACTTTTTTTGCTTAATGGGAATGCAGAATTATTCTTTGAAAGAAGAAACATCAAAATGTGAACTGAGCTACAAGATATATCATCAATAGCTTTCAGTGGTCAGGAGCAATAAATCCGACATTTACAACATAAGCTATGAGGCACTTTACAGCATCTTGATATAAATCATGAGAGTTACAGTTCAGTATAAAACTCTGGGTTGACAGAAAGGCAAAGCTGCAAAAAAACCAAACAACATCATACACACTCGCTCTGACAATGTGTAGTGCGCTTGTTCCTATTGCCTTCCTGTGTGTTGAAGTGAATGAAAAACTGCAATTACTGACATAGTATGGCATCAGCCTATGCTCTACCAGCTATGCCTGCCTAACATTATTAAAAGTGAGGCCTTGCCTTATTAATAATGCAACATTTTAAAATGGCAGCGTAAGCAGATATCAAAAACAAAATGCAGTGAAAACAGAGGGCTTGTGGGACTCCTTATTTACAGTGTTCATCAGGTTTGTCAGGAGCACTCAGGCATGTTTGTGTGGTAGAGAGGTATTTCAAGAGTTTTCATATAATGAAGTTGACCCCTGCTCACTCCTTACACACTTCTACAGAGAGTTTGTCATCAGAGGCTTAATTCAATAGGGACCTCAGGAATTACTGTAAATGTCTTCGCCACAGGGACACCCCTAATGCCTTCAGTGTGCCTGAAGCTAATTTCTTTTGTATTTGCTGGTAGAAAAATAATGCTATGCAATGCTAAAAGGACTCCCTAAGACGTTCACACACTTTAACAAACCTAGAACAACAATACAGCTTGAAGTTAGATATTAATTCCTCTGGGAAACTTTAAAGCTTTACTATCTTATACTTCTAATATTTGCAACTGCTTTAATTAGTGTGGCCGTGAGTGTCTGTGTGATAGTGATTTTGAGATAACCAAACTTTGTGTTAATTTGTCCTTGGGTCTATCTTGCAAATGGGATCTTAATCTCAGCGAGATTTCCTGAAAGTACCTAACTAGATTAAATAATATATTGTGTGGATGTGTAGCCGTTGGTGTGAGTATACCTGGCTCCTTTGCTGTGCTGCACAGCCTTGCAGGCGGTCTGGGTGAAGACAATGCCCTGCAACTCTCTGAACTCCAAGATCTCCAGGTAGTCAACCACCACCGCGGCATCAGGCACCACATAGTGAGTCAAATCTGGAGGTAGCACTTTGCCATCTTTTTGGGAAATTAATAAGAACCCGTGAAAATTCACATTTTTGATAGTCATCCATAACTGATCAATCAAAGTGAAACAGTGGTTATTAGTGCTAATGCAGATAACTAGAAACATCCCTCTTCGTTTAAGTTTGCCTTGATTAAACACTATAGTGTTTACAAATGGCAATACTTGTCAAAGGAGATGATCACAGTGCTTCAACTTAAATGCAGTATCCAATAACCTTTCCATAAATAGCCCAATTATTTTGCTCTAGTACTTTGTTCTACAGCAGGTTAATCCTATATCCATATAGAAACACGATGCCTTAGACACAACCTGGGGCAAAACAGAACGCGGTGTGGTGTTCAGGGGTTCTTTTATTAGGTCGTTCAAATCGCTCTTAAGTGGATATTACAGGTGTAATCACTTTTGCTGCAGTGATCAACTGTATGTTGTCGACAGGCCACAGGTGTACTCACTACTGTAACAATAAGGTTGCATTTTGTTCTCCCGCAGTACTTCGATGTAGTCAACCTAACACGTTATTGTCTTGCCCCTGTTCTCTGTAATATCAGCTACAGTGTGAATTTCCTAAGGAATGTGTTGTAACATTAAACAAAAGGCTGTTTTATGTGTATGTGTGTGTGTCAGCCAGCCTGTGTGCTTTGTTTTGAGGCGACTTTACCATTGGCACAGTCCGCCTGGCACAGAGAGCTGTAGCAGGGTACCCGCTCTCTCAGATAATGTTCCCGGACCACACGGACCTTTCGCCCCCGGCAGCTTTTCAAATGCAAAATCTTCTCCGTTTTGATCATCTTCGGGACTCAGGAATCAGCCACGTGCAGCCCGCTGTACGTGCTAATCAGTAGTTTATCATAATTCAGGAAAATAGTTTTGTAAACATAGCCGCTCAATTTCAGGGAAGTACGGCAAACTCACTGACGCCATTACGCTGACGCAAGTGCGTCTCTAGCTGCGTTCAGGTGCTGTTGGACGTAAAGAATTTATGAACTCTGACAAAAGTGGGAGAGTGGATCACAAAAATCATTTTCACCGCTGCAGGTTAATTATGCTATGAAGAAACGGCTGGTTACCTCTGTGACCCGAATGGGTGCTAGCTCATGCCATCTGCAGAAAAAAAACAGCGAAAAGGAGAGACTAAGAGAAAAAATGCAACATTTAGCAATGAACACTGAACTAGTTTTTCAGTATTGGTATTGTTTGGTGGACCAAACAAGGACGACGCAAGTGAAATGCCTAAACGAAGGAAGGCTATGTTCTCCTGGGCTTGTAAGTCCTTGTTGCTAGCATGCTAGCCATGACAGCTTGATAAGTAAAATGCTCATTCCCCTAATTTCTTTTAGAGTTTTTGGGACCCCTGCTGGTCATAACAGCGTTATGTTCATATACCAGGTGTGAATTTTATATGCGCAGCTCTGCTTTTGTTTTCCATGCAGTAGTGAGTGAAACTCAGTTTTACTTAAGTCTTAAACCTCGAGGGTCTGGAGAGACTAGGTGTGTTTTTTTTTTCCACGACCGAAAGTGTCAGTGTTCTGGGGTGAGTCCTCTTGCTAGCTCCGCTGCTCTTTGGCTGCGTTGTGGGCAGAGGCTGCAGCAGAGCATCAGCAGAGAGACTGAGCGCAAGTTGGCGACAGCACCGATACGGCTGCTGCTGCTGCTCCAGGACTTTACTGGCGTTTCTAGATCGACATCTTCCAGAATTTTTTGTTTTCGAATAAAATTTCCCGCACCTATCTCTCAGGTCGCTCCTGTAATAGTACCTTTAACTGCACGTTTATTTATTTACAGTCTGTGAGAATGAACTTTATTTAAGACACGTCTCTTCTGCAGGTAAGCTCTAAAGCTGTTATTGGTGACCCTCTTAGGTTTTTAATTATTTTGCACTTAGAGTTAAGTTAAACGTAGAAGAATTTCTAACTAAAGATTAGGATAAACTGACAGAAGAAGTGTGTGGTTTATAGCCACACTACATTATGACTGCAATATTCTTTCAACGCGTTGCTGTATTGT